CATAAACGCTTTTTCGCGATTACGGAGGTGATTGTAGCAACCAATGTATGTATAACGCAACAAAAACATTTTTAAAGTGGCAAACTTTACGACCACTTATAGATAATTATTCTAGATGTGATCTTTTACATTGGTCTTTGATGCTATCTATTTGTGAACAAAACAAGAAGAATGTGTCAATGAGATCTGCTTACTTGGCAATTTTTGTTTATAATGTAGATGAAGCAAAATGCCTTGTCATGCTTAAGCATCCTTCTAATAGGTTGTCAATTTTCTGAATAACAACTTTCTTTTTTATTTCGCTTTCTCTCTGTATCGGGTATGTGTCTTGTCTCTGAGTGCAGGGCCTTTCTCTTGTTTGAAATACTCTTCATTGGTTTGTGTCTTCAATGTCATATCAGGAGTTCACCAAGATCATCCTCAACTCAACCTCTCAATTTCGCATCTTATACTTATTTCACTCAGCCCCTTGCCAGAGACATTCAGAACGTTCACCTTTTTTGCTGGTATGCATTTTAGGCTTAAAAAGCCAATTATAACCGAGCAATCTGCATGACATCAAGTGCGGGCAGGCGGTAGAATTGCATAGTAGTGTACTTTCTAGTATTCGTATGACGCCTGAGAAAGCTGGCTAGTATATCCAGAATCGTTGACCTATCGCTTTACCATCGCAGCTTTTCTGATTCTGCTTGACTAAAGTCGTTTGCTATCGCTTTACGCAATCGCAGCTTTTCGATTCTGTGTATAATCGTGGCCGTATCGCCATATTACCATCGCAGAACTTTCTGGGCTTCTGCGTTACTAAGATAGTCGTGCTGTCGCTTTACCATCGCAGCTTTCCTGCTTTCTGCGTTACTAAATCGTTACCTATCGCTTTTACAGTGCAGTCTTTCTGATTTCTCGTGATACGTAAATCTTGCTAGATCGCGTTTCTATGCAGCTTTCTGCTTCTGTTCGATATAAACGTCTGACCTGTCGCCGTTTACTTCGCAGCTTTTGCTTCCTGCGTTATTAAATATGTTGCCGTTATCGCTTTACCACTCGCGCTTTCTGCTTTCTGTGCATACTAAATCTGTGTACTTATCGATTTACCTATCGCGCGTTTCTGGCATTTCTGTGATACTAATCGGTTGCCCTAGTCGCTTTACCTTCGCAGTTCTTTCTGTCTTTCTGTGATACTAACTCTTGCTATATCGCTTGTACTATCGCAGCTGTGTTGACTTCCTGTTGATACTTAAATTCTGTTACATCGCTTTACTTCGGCAGCTTTTGCTTTCTGGTGTACTTTACTAAATCGTTGCCTATCGCTTTACCATCGCAGCTTTCTGATTCCTGTGATACTAAATCGTTGCCTATCGCTTTACCATCGCAGCTTTCTGCTTCCTGCGTTACTAAATAGTTGCCTGTCGCTTTACCATCGCAGCTTTCTGCTTCCTGCGTTACTAAATCTTGCCTATCGCTTTACTATCGCAGCTTTCTGCTTCCTGTGATACTAAATCGTTGCCTGTCGCTTTACCATCGCAGCTTTCTGCTTCCTGCGTTACTAAATAGTTGCCTATCGCTTTACCATCGCAGCTTTCTGCTTTCTG